GAGTTAGAGTCCATCAATCACTTTAATATTAGGTAAAATTTTTAATTTGGTTCTTAATTATTATATAAATATTTGATTTAATTTATATTATTTATCAATTTATCTCAAGTTTATCTTTTCATACAAAAAATAACTAACATATTTTATTATTAATGTGACACGTTACAATTAAATTATTATTTTTTATCGTTAAGTAACAGATATATCTACTATTTTTTGTATGAAATGGCTAACTTGAGATTAAATTAGTAAATAGTAGGGATCAAATCGAAGTCTGTATAATAATTTATAGACCAAAATTGAGAATTTTTTTAATTCAAGAACTAAATTAAGAGTTTATACAATAATTCATAGACCAAATTGGAGTTTTAACCTTAATATTTTGCACTAGATTTACATGTTATTGATGCTTCTTTCGGTCCATGAACTGAACCAATTCTCTTCCCTCTTCATTTGTAATTCCCTTTGTTTTTTTTTAAAAAAAAAAACAAAAAGGTGAAAACAAAGGGAAGGAATCTTGTAAAATAAAATTAAGATAGTGGAAAAAATAAAGGATTTTTTAATTTATATTTTAAAGGTATAAATTAAAAATATTTTTTATTGTAAATATATAAAAAAATTTAAAAATTAATATTAATTTAATATTAATGTTAAATAAATAAATTTAATTATATAACTAATAAGTTAAAAGTTGATTTTTTTTAAAAAAAAAAAAACTCAAAAACAAAATGAAAGGAAGAGTCGCAATACAAACTGAATAAATCAAGACTTTACCTATAGCCGTATCTAACACCTTAATTTGCACTAGCCATTAAAATTACAACTACAAAAAGAAACATTAATCATCCGAAAATTATTTCCGCTTTGTTCAGCAACATTTAGCAAACAAATAAAAGGTACATTGTTCAAATAAAATAGCTTAACCAAAAAAGGTTCCAAAATGCTTAATTCCTATGCTGAATTTAATTTTTTTTAATTCTTTGCTGAATTTAATTTTTTTTCTAATTCTTTGCTATAATTTTGGGTTAAGTTTCTTACTTTTATTGAATTCTTCTCTTCATATGCATCTTTTATTTATCTGATTTAAAGCCTAACAAAGATGCTATCCTCCACTTACACTGTAATTAGTGGGATGGCAGGCCCAATGCCCTACCTCTTAATTATATTTTGACCTTTAATTTAGAGAATGCCCAATTACAGACATTATATAATTTTTATATGTTATTAAATGAATATATATAAAATATTATAAATTTTAGTACAATAAAAATAATTAATTATTTAATAACATGTAATATTATACAAAAGAAATTATCTTTCAATAATTTTTCGTAATTTTATTATTGCCCATTTTTTGTCTGCTGCCCATTACTTATTGGGGGCACTTCTAGTATTTGATTTCCACATAAGCGCCTAGTTATCAATTTATTCTTGGCCCACCTCAATGTCATCCGTCCATTGAACGACATTTTGGAGAGATAGCGGAGACTGATTAACGGATAATGTTAAAACAAAGTTTAACAAAAATTAAGGGTTAAGTTTGGCAGTACATAACTATAATTGTAAATATAAGTTTTTAAAATTTTAACGTTTTAAAAATATAAAATATATTTAATACATTTAATATTTATTTTAATTAATATTTTATATATTTTTAAAATAATAAAAAGATATAATAATTAAAAATTTAAGTACCCAAAAATACTGTCAAATAAAGCTTAAATTTACAAATTTCAAAGGAGAGTAGCTAAACTAAAAACAATAATAAAAGTCAATGACTATTTATGTAGTTTATCCAAAACTAAATCTAAATTGTTAGCAACAACCTAAGTAACTTAATATTTATCTCTTTTTACTGGAAGTGATCGCTAAAAATAAGAAATTTTAAATTTAAATCACATAATATGTAGATAAGATGAAATAAAAAATAAAAATAAAAAATAATTATTTTTTATTGTACAACTAAAATAAAAAAAAAAATCTAAATTGCTGTTTACCCTGACTTTGAAAAATGGATCAAATTCCATTCTCTACTTACAATTCAGTGGCACATTTTACCATGGTTAACTTTCTAAGCAGGAGCAACGGTGGCCAAGAGCTGGCCTCTTGGTTAATGGTTAAAACGGAAGAAGAGGAATTTAGGTCCCGACTTTTCTTTTGGTACAATTTAGGCCCCCTGCTCCTGCTGCTAATGGGCGTAGAATGTTCGATGGCGAGGGCTGGCGCTATAGCCCGGCAGTAGGGTATAATCGTAGGCAGGCTAATCCTAGGCAAGAGTTGGTGTTTATTTTTTATTTTTATTTTTTTAACATAAAATTATGATTCAAACTCCATACTTGTGGAGCCTGGTCTTTCGGGTCAAGTAACTCTAGTCACGTTTGTAAGGTTCATATTCTTTTTTTTCAAGATAACGGTTCGAGCCGGCCCATGACAAAAATGTTAAAAAAAAAAAAAAAAAACCTCCATACTTATCACCAATATAAGATTATTTTTTTACGACATACAAATGGCCACAGGAGCCAAAAGGACTGCACGAGAGTTGGCGTTTATTGATTTATCTTGGCACAATAATTCTAGGGTGGGTGACGTGGGTCCATCACCTACCACAGGTTTTTTTTCCACGTTTTTGCCCTTTTAAGTTAATTAGGATTTAAGGGTATAAAAATAAAGATTAAGAATTTATTTATCTATAAATTTTATATATTATATTTATATAAAATATATATTTTTTTATCTTTATATATATAATATTAATTATTTATTTTTTTAATAATTGAAATTTATAATATTTTTTAAATAAAATAAATGATTTTTTAATAAATGTAAATAAATCTCAGTTATTAAAAATTTTAAAAATAAATAATTGAAATTTTATATAAATGTGATATATAAAATTTGTGTGTAAATATATTCCTATTTATAAATAAATCCTATCTTATCATAATATATATAAACTTTTAAAATCTTTAATAAATTTTTATAAAATACCTATAAAATCTCAAATAAACAATTAATAAACCTTTTAAAGAAAACTTAAGGAGGTTGAAGAACCCTAAACTCAAATCATATCCAAATTGATTCGCTAACTTCAAATCCAAATTCATTCTACAGCTTCAATTATGCAATAGTCGAAATCAAATTATTAAATTTTAATAATCATAACAAACTCTAATTTTCATATTATTTTTGGTACTAATAGTTGAGTATTTAGAAGTTATATTAAACCCTAATTAATTTAGAGTTCAGTTGAGTCGAATTGTATAAGAGGAGAAACTCTCTCAATGTTTGTTTCTCCATTCACAAAATTCAAATTTGAAATCTTATTTAGAGAAAACTAAACTTCTCTTACTTGTACCAATAGATCATTGGTTAACTTCCTTATTATTAATCAAACTTCAATCCCAACTTGATTCAACAATTTTAATTATTGTCCAAATCCAAATT